GACCATGTTTGTACTAGTATCCTTAGGTCAGCAGCTGCAATCTAACAACCAGAAGCAGACCAAGGACCAGAGATCTTGTTGACTGTGTCCTCATACCCGCTGTATTTATATGTATAATCGGGCAATCTTGTGACAGGAGATATAAAGGACTAGGGGTTAGGGGTCAGTGTTGACCCAAGGATTGCGTGTGTCTGTTTGTTGTAATTGGTGAGCTATTGATAGAACAGTTGGGTTTGAAATGGACAGAATTGATGGGGCCGGCATTTCAAGAGGGAAGAAAAGAGCTAGGCAGATATACAGGAGGTAAGACCTTCAAATGCCATGATGAGGTAAATGTCATCTATATCCGGAACAGCAGGAAAGTTGGACAAAAGCTGCACCATTTTGTTTCATTCCAAGTGCCATTTGTTTAACGTGATTGAACCGAGGGCTTGAAATGCCGAGTGCATGTGTACCTTGGTGCACTAAAAATTGGAGCTATGCGTACCCACTTTTTTATGTAGGTGCACCCAGATATTATCGTAGGTTTATGTATGCAAAGATATTAAATGTATAGTATACTATAGTAGTATACTACATATTCGAATTTCTAGGTATCAAAGTGTCTGTCAGAAAATCTTTGTTGTTTAAGATTATTCTATATGGTGCACTCAAGATTGTTTTGTGCACCCAATTTTTAGGTTGGGTGCACTAGTATACACTCACAATTCCCAAAAATGTATTTTGAGCCCTGTTAGTTGTTGCAGTACTTAGCGAGGGCCTACATGGGGGGTAATGATTACGAATTACGGAAAATTTTTGCCGCCTATTACAAATTACGTTATAGTCTCAGAGCTGATTACGACTTTACGCTTTGCGGCTTATGTACTATCACGAATTACATTGATTTTTTGGGAGGTTGCCTACAGATTACGAAGATTAAAAAGGCCTGTTTACGCCTTACGAAAAAGGGCATGCAGGCCCCCCCTTAGCCTGTACCTAAGCCTGGCAGTAAGAGACTAAGTCATCAGGGCTGATAAATCTCATGTCCTGTCACACAAACATGCCGGCCATGTTGTCCAGTTATTCTATGGTATCAGCCAGCTATGTCTTACGGACAATCTCCTGTCAAAGTGATGGATTCTGTATCATTAGAACCACTTGTAGGTATTAGGGGGGATTTCTTTTGCACTGCCTAGTTTCAGTTTGTGAGTGTGTGTGTGTGTGCACACGTGTGTATGCGTGTTCTTGTATATCTATATTTTGTGTATATGCATGTGTGCATATGTGTGTGTCCACACATGCGTGCATGTTCTTGCGTATTTATATTTTGTGTGTGTGCGTGCATGCATGCATGTATGTGTATGTGTGCGCATGCATATGTGTATATGTGTGTGTGCAAGATCCAATAGATACATACACTTATTAGCTTACAGTGGTTGCACTTTGAAAATCCCTGAGACCAAACTAACCCATGTTGCAGGTATTTTGTATACAACTAATTTACTCCAACAGCAGTGCACCGTGAACACAAAATGTCAAAAAAGACGTGAACACATGTCAGTAAAAATAGATTGCGACCAAGTCAGTACCCCTGAACTTCTGTATTTGACCTTACAAAAACATGCCCCCATCTGCTGAGTTCAAGGCTGTGAGAGATTGAAATATCACGGTGCCTGTGCCTATTACCACTGAACCAGTGAGTGAACTTGTAAGCACATGTCACAGTTGAGTTCACGTGATTCTCTAGAATGCTATAACTTATAGGGTACCATCAGATTCTGATCTATCATAGCAATGCTTTGTACTTTTGCCAGGGTTCTCACTATGCTGTTTGAGTGTATGGGCCCCCTACGCTATGATTTCAACCCCCTATGCTGTGATTTAACCCCCTAGACTGTCTCGAGCTCGCGGTCCCAGGTTCGATTCCCAGGAGCCAGGGGTTTTCATGTTTCTACTCTCCCGTTGTGTTTCAGTAGTTCCCACACCAGGCCTTTGAGTGATGGCAAAGTGTGATGCATGTAGGGATATCAAACTTGGAGGTTCGAGGACAAATCTAAAAGAAAAGTGGAAGTAGTGTGTAACAGTGGTGTTCAAGCACCACCAACCCACCTGTCTAACAGGTCAGCACCTTTTAGCCTAGCGGTTGGTGCATTGGGTTCTCAAACTGGTGACCCGGGTTCGATCTGTAGCCAGGGTTTTTCATGTTTCCACTTTGCCCCTAGTTGTTTCCTGAGCTAAAGATTCTCCTTCTAGTCTTCTACTGTTTTCTCTTAGGGGGGGAGGGGGGCATCCTTTGAAGACTGACATGCCACAGTAGATACAAAATTAGCATCCAAACAAACACTTCTTTATAGACCAGTGCACCTGTTTAGGAGGCTAATATTTGTCGTCGTGGTCAGATTTTGTTGTCCCAAGTCTGGAAGAAACCACTGCCGTATTTATCTTATAAGTCTGCTACTGTAATTCACTTTATTTTTGCTGCAATAAAAGTTCACAGTCAGAGAAAAATGAAGTTGTTCATAGAATTATATTTTCACAGTGGCAGCAGGTGCTGAAAAAACAAAGTTGGTGAATTATGTGTTAATGGTAACCATAAGTTGTTGGTACAGAAGTGATCACAAAAACAACAAAGAAAAAAAAAAACCAAAAATTATGAATTACAGTACTAAGATGTTATCCCTAATAGCAATGTCTTGGAATCTTTGAATAACCTATGTCCTAAATGTAAAAAGATCTTTGTAGTTTTCAGTTACCTACTTTACTTGATATTACAATGTCTGTATTGTTGCTTATATTAGTCAAGACATATATTGCTGTTTCTGCTTTGCAGTATCTAGTTGAATACAACATTGTGTTTTAAATTCCATTTCTGAACACTTCTGGGATATACATGTGTTCTGCAATGTATTCTGCAATGTATTCTGCAATGACATGTTAACTATACAATTTAAACATTCCAACTTCCAAGCTTTTTCCATGGTGTGCCATTCCAGAATTCCAGCCATTGAAGAACTTTAGGTGGCAAAAATAAAAGGAAGGTCTTGTTTTGGTTGTCTACATGTATAAAGATTACAATACAAACATTGTAATGTCTTGTAATTTCCCAGACAAGTTACGTATCTTCACACCATTCAGGAAAAGTGGTTTGCTTCGTGTCTTTTCCATGGAAGTGATACAGTTAAACACACATTCGATCTCGCCAAATTCTCGGCATGTCTGCCATAGCCCAGTGTTTTATTTCAGGTACATGTTTTGCTTCAGTTCATCACATTTGCTGAGTCCTCTATTGTAGGGTGGGAACACTGGGGAAAAATCACTTCTGTGGCCATGTCAACAAGTACTGTCTGTAAATCGTAATTTTTCCGCAGTACTTTTATGTTTGTGGTTTTCGCACTCAATTCTGTACAGCAAACTTACCATTACAGTAAACTAATAATTTGCCGACTATTTTTTTTTGCTGCACCTGCTGCCACCGCGAACATATACTATGATATAGTTCCACGAATATGTCCATTTTTCTCAGACCGTGAACTTTTGCTACCGTGAACTAGAGTATTCTTCAGTCGCGTAACATGATTAACTTGAAAAAATTTGGAAATGTTCACGGCTTAGAAGTGACCATGAAAACCGTGAACATAAAAGTCCAGTGAAACAAAATCAGGAAATACAGTAAAGAGATGCTGGTGTTGCCATAGCCACCTCCTATTGTCCTGTAATGAACTCCCAGTTAATTATAGCTCTGGTCATTTGCCTCTTTTATGGACCCAGTGGGAAGGGGAGGGACTACACATAATACAGCCAGTCTTATGCATGTAGTGAAAGTTAGTACTGACAGAAGGGGCAGAAATGTCTTTATTTGGCCCTAGTCAGATACAAAGCTCTAGCCAGCACCCATTTCTCTGTGAATTGTAGGAACTTTGTGATGTGTGACAGAGAATTTTTAAAACAACCTTGATCATGATGGACAATTGACAAACATATTGGGTAAGAATCATTCACAGGATAAGGATATAAAAACATCCAAAGGACCACCAACAATCACTCTCAACCCCGTGATTTGCCTCTTAAAATGTGGGAAATTGTGTTTTTCAAAGGCTTGGAAATCCAAAATTTGTCCCTGGACCCCCTAGATTGTGTCAATGCGATATGTATGAACGTTAGTGCAAAACAAGAATATCAGAATTTTGAAAGTGCTATGTTAGAAGTTGGAAGATAGCATGTTGACCGCAGTGTCTGCATTATCTTTCGTACAGTAGCTTTTCAACTTGAATTTGTCTGTCACATACAAGTTGTCTTTGAGTTTTACACTGCAAAGCTTTGTGTGTGTGCAAGGTAAATTGTTCAAGCAAACATCAAGAAACTCCAGACGTTCATCAACGCGAGACTCCGCTACATACTCGGGATCTGGTGGCCCAGGAAGGTCAGTAACCAAGACCTTCTGGAGATAGCAGGCCAAGAACGAGTGGAGATGACCATCAGAAGGCGTAAATGGAGATGGATTGGTCATACACTAAGGAAACCCCCAGAATCCATCAGTAGAACTGCCCTTGACTGGAACCCCCAAGGGACAAGGAAGAGGGGTAGACCACGGTTGTCCTGGAAGAGAGGTGTCAGGAAGGACCTAACAGCAGCCAACACCTCGTGGCACGAGGTTAAGACGATCGCAAGGGACCGAGGGAGGTGGAGAGCGTTCACTGAAGCCCTGTGCTCTAGGACGGGCGAAGAGGATTAAGTCAAGTAAGTCAAGGTAAATTGTGACTGTAGTGAAGAGGCATTTGACCTTATAAAGTCAGCGGGCATACTTGCGCTGGACCATAAACATTCTTATCAAACCGCAGGGCACGGTTGGTCGGTCTCGCTGAGTCACAGACAGCGTAGTTGACGTAACCGTCAATCGGTGGCTTGTAAAAACGAGGAGGGGCTTGTCTAATCACCTGTGTTCACACCTAGAATTGTTACTCAACACCACAAACTAAACTGTGACGTCAAGGAGTTCCTCTGTACACACATCACTTCCTATAACCTTCCTGTATTCCTGTTCCTGACTTTGGACTTGTCTAAAGCGTTGGCCCAGTTGCCCAATGTGGCTGCTCTTTTGTAGGGCAGCATACATACATATTTGACCCATTTTCTACGCTGGGATCAGAATTCATTAGAATTTGTAATTGAATTGCTGGAGGGGGAAGCAGGCAGGCAGGCAGACCGAGCGTGACTGATAGGGGAAGGGTGACTCCATTCTCCTGGACAGCTTGTCTCGCTGTCGCACACAAAACACGGCTAATCGGACGCGTTATTGGACGGTAGAACCAGCTGGGTACCGACCGGGGGCCGCGGATTTTCCTCGCCATGCCTGCAGCACGATACACGGAGGACAGTTCGGAGGGAAAACGGGACAGCAGCGAGGAAAAAACGCCATTGTTTGAGCATGATAGTGACAACAATGGTAAGTCACACACCTAGAACAACCAGCGTGGCACAGTGATTCCACTTCCTGTTGTGTCTACAACTGTGGCTGAGCTTTGCCAACTTGGATCCATAACTCAGCTTCGTATTAGCAGAATTCAGCAGGAAAATTGATATAGTTTTGCATACAATTTAGCATGTTTATGGCCTCTCTGGTGCAGGGTATTCCCTTAATGTGCCTGATTTGCATAATGTGTGATGTAATGCTTAGTGTCTGAGACTGGAAAGCTAAAAAAAATGTGGTCGTCCCATTTAGCTTTTGGGAAGCTTCATTTGTGTCAAATCTATATACACATACTGTTTTATATGAGTTGTAGTTGGTAGAATTATATTTTTGTGTCAGTGGAGATATGGACTATGGTTTTGTTTCGGAGGCATAACAAGAAACACTTCCTATATGCTTGGAAAATTGTATTGTTGTCTTTTGGATACCTATCAGAAAATTGTTTCTAAAACATCTGTTTTCTTGGAAAAGCATCTGTGTCTTATTCAGTCATAAGTTTTTCCTTTTCCGCTATATGTTGCTTGTTATATTTCTAACACTAAGTAAGAATGAAATCCCAAAGTTTACTAAATATATATACTACTTATGTACAATAAGTAGTATTCCAGCATTTATATTCTTTGCTTAATAAGACTATAACTTTTTGTTTAAGTAAGGATTTAGTCAGTTTAATCAAGGAAGCTGAGGTTTGACCTAAAGTGGTCAACTTGAATCAATTAATTTCAATACATGTCAGTAAGGTGGCTATGATATTATTATTAAGGTTGGTATTAAACATAGTTTAATTAGTAGGGCTAGAGAGGCCATCAAGATTTAGACTGGATTATGATTTTATTTTTATATTTTTAGTTTTATTTTCAAAGCAGAAATATGGTACAGATCCATCTTTTTTGTCCAAAATACTTTCTTATTCTTGTTTACTGGTATAACGTACATTTTTCAACTGATAAGATGATTCAATATTTTTAGTCTCACTTCTATAATTCGCTTTTTTTTCTGTACCTGCCACCACCTATAGTTCCACAAACATGTCCATTTTTCTCAGACCGCAAACTTTTGCTACCGCAAAGATTAAGTGATTCACAGTATTCCCAACAAGGTGTTGTCAAGTTGTCAAAGTTTAAACTTTGTGTTTCGACTGTCATGCCATCATGGATAGCTTCCTCTGGTCCAAAATCCGTCCTTTATACCTAGCAAAGGTCGCTTGTACAGTACAGTAACACTCCTTTTGTCCTTGGAAGAAATCCCCCACCACTACCATGTAATTAGGGATGAACCTAGAGCTTAGGCCGACTTTAGACTGACGACAGTATACGATCGCACGACAATCGTTGTGGGCGACGGCTGACTTTAGACACATGACCAGGAAGTGTGACGGACACCCGCAGCGCAGGAGGGCACGCCGCGCGCCAATTCAAAATGGCGAGAGAACCCCTTTTTTTCGGCATGCTGCAGAAGATTGTTTTTAATCTGCTTTTAACTCGTTGTTCTGTGGATGAGACTCCTAGTTTGTGCCCAGCAAAGAAGGGGTATGAATGAGGCACATGTACCAAGCGGGGCAATATACTCCGGGTTTGAACCCGGCGTTCGGTGCTGCCGTCGGCCTGGCTATATTGGCCGGGAAATGTGGATCGGCGGATCGGTTCGTACCGGAGAAGTAGCGATTGGTGGCTGGGGATTGTACCAGACACGTATGACGATATAAAGTCTTTGGTTTGATGGCATTTAATGATACTGGCGATGTGCTTGGACATGAAATAACGCTTGCAGGCTTATTTGCATAAGGCCAATGACCTCCCACTTCCTTCGCCGGCGACGGTTCACTTTAGACGGTGGAAAATCCTCCTCGGACCCCCCGCTGAATGATCGCACGATAGGGTCCGAGGTGGTAGTGACGACGATTCGAGGATTACCGTCGTGCGACTATTTTGATCGTCTTTAGACGGTTGTAAAATACCGTCGCCGGCAACATCTTGACGATAAACATTCGTACGACTGTTTAACCGTCGTCAGTCTAAAGTGCCCCTTTGTTAGGCCATGTTGATTTGACTATATGGATGACATCTTACGGGAACCCCAAAACTGATGCAAGCGTGCAATTAAAAAAGGTTTGGCAAAAAAAAGAAGTTGCTTTCATTATGAAATCTACGTGGTCATGAGGGTTGAACAAATGACTAAACACACAGAGTATGGTATGGCGAATAATACTCTTCATTTTCATTTCTTCACATATTCTTCTTCTTCTTTTGAATTGACTTCTGCAACATAACTATCGTTTTTTCAATATTTTTTTTTGCAATTTTAATATTTGTTCATTTTGCATTTTTTGGTCAAAGGCTTTTTTGGAAACGGACGTCATCCACATAATGTTATCGTCTAAAATCTTCTTTTGGGGGGGGGGACGGACAAAAATTCATGCGGGCGTAGATGTCATCCATGTAATCAAATTAACAAGGCCTTAGTATCACCCTACCAGCTGGAACAGCTGAGTGATTTTCTGTAAGTCTACCCATAATTAGTGGCAGCCTGATAAGGCTAAAGGTCTCTTCTTTACAATTATAATTAAGATCTTTATCTTGGGTTGTCTGTCTCTTGGCTGATGATCCGATCCTTTTGCTGTCAGAATCAGATGGCAGAAGATTTTGTGGGCAAGAGTTTTTGATGTCTCCTTTGTTAAGGAGTGACAATTGCAACTGGTGCATCTTGTTTTGTCAAGGACAGATGTTGAAAGGTAGTAGCATAGGCTTCGGTGTATTTACGTGTTTATCTTTTTAAGTTTTTGCAATGTACAGAATTTTGCTGTTGTGACAATAAGAAATACTCAAATTTTTTCTTTGAAGAGAACAACAATGTATACTATTACTAACTTACAGTAACACAAAGAGTGCAAACTGACAAAAGAAGAAAATCACAATATTCCAGAGTATTCTTGGTTTATCCCCATTTGGGAACATTACAGTCACTTGAAATGGTGCAGGTAACATTGAGAATTACCTGCACCAGACAAATGTTACCTGTATCACTCAGAATTTGAGAAGTATGGATCATATAAAAAACTATCTTGAAAACATTGTCATTATATACAGTCAATGCTGCAAATAGAAATCCACATACAACTACATATATAAACCCAGTGCAGGTTAGGTGCTGGTAGAAATCAGAAATACCTACACAGCCTCAATTATTAGAATATAGAATAATATATTAGAATAAAGTATAATTATGGACATTGGCAAGGAAGTGCCTTATTCATATATCACATTATGCCTGCAGCATATAGCATTATTAATAAGGATAAGTATTTTAATAAGAACCACATGCCTGTCTTGTGATGCCTGTATGAATGTATGAAGCACATTTGTGTAGGATGTTGTCTCATCAGTTTTGAATAAACATTTTAAATACGGATATATTTTTCTTGTTGTTCAGAAGCCAGCAGCAGCGTCAGCGAGGAGAGCGAGCGGGAAGACGGCATCGTGATGTCGCGGAGGAACATGTTCGGCTCCTCCAGCGGGACGTACAACGTGCGGGCGTCGGAGATCGCGCGGGACAAGCACCGTCCCGAGGTGCAGTGTCAGGTCTACATGCTGGACGACACAGTACAGACCTTCAAAGTCTTCGTAAGTCTCACATTTTTAACTTTTCACTTGTAATATCTAAACTAGAGGCTTTGGCCTTACCACTTTGATTTGTTGGTTCTCAGATTTTTTCAGAAAAGATAGGAAGAAACAGGGCAAACAAAAAAGAAACTAGAAAAGTAACATTTGCAAAGTAAATGCATAATGTTTACCTTCGCATATGGTCTGCTCTGTTAATTCTTACTCAAACACATTTCATATATAAGGTCAGACAGGAGTCTAAATCCCTCCCACTATAAAACTGCAACATGGTGTAACCCAAAACTAGTTACCATGGTAACAGACAGTCTGGTTCAGGTCATTGAGGTGATTGTTTGGAGATGGAGAAGAAGAGGAAACGTAGCAAAAATGATATGTTTTCCTTCCATAAACATAACTATAGGCTTTGGCCATACATAGGATTTGTTGGTTCTCAGATTTTTTTAGAAAAAATAAGATGCAACTAAACAGTTCTTGATCTAAAACTTTGTCAAAAATACCGCCGTCAATTCTCAAAGTTAGATTCACCTCAGAATTCCCTACTCAGTTCAGCTCCGCAGCAAAGCGGGTGCCTCTATTGCTGTAACGGACGCATCTGAATAGTTCTTGATCTAAAACTTCCGCTGCCCTTCCCCTGAACCCAGTCCCATTGTTATGATCCCTTCCTGCCAATGTGGGATCTCCTGTGAAGTGGAGGAGGTCTATTTCTGTGGCAGGCGGACTACCAAAAGGTCAGCTGTGTCCGGGGGTTTGTGGATTTACCCCATAAGAGACAACTGGAGAATACACAATGTTGGCCAGGCTGGAAGGAAACAAGAATCCAGGCCAGCAGATGGTTTGGAAGATAACTATGTGTCTCCGCAGCATGCTTCTTGGGTCCAGTTAGGTCAAATCCTTTTAATCCCTGTATTCCAAGTATCTAATTTGCCCTCCTCCCCAAGTGAAAAAGGAATACAAAACTGCACAATATTTGTGGTACGATATATTTTTCATATCATGATAATATCTCCTTTCATTTGCAAGAGATGGATTATAAGATTGATCATATTGCAGTCTCATAAAGGTCTGAGTCATCTTAGAATTAGACACATGTTTCAAACTATTGAAGACCCTCACAAATAGATTCCTTTCATAAAATTTCATGTGAGAAAGGCAGCATTGTTGATGTTTATGTACTTCCAAGTATTCATAGATAGAATGGTCAACGTTCAAAAGTGTTGCCCATTTGAACGTTCCTGTTTATGATTATAGTTCATTGATATGTGAGTCCAGTTTTTGGTCTAAATATGTTTGTGTAAGATTTCCGATGTGTAAATCTACATTAGGAAGTGGTTTTGATTTTCTAAGAAGTTTGTAACCTCCTTTCATCGTTCCTGCCTTCACATCTTCTCCCACTTCCTGACATTCCGGAAGAAATTGATTTCACATAAAGAAGCAAACCAGTTAGAAGTAATGGGTGACAAAGGTCGGCTCCCATTGGCTATCACAGGGAAATCAGCGTGACCATTGATTGGTCAAGCCCCTGTTCTCCTCTGTCTGTGATTGGCAGGTGTGTGGTACGATCCATCAGGAGTTACAAAGAGGGGGGTGGGGGGAGATTTGTTGGTAGTGCCCTAAGTAGGGACATACAGACAGCCAGAAGAAAGCTGAACTCTCTGGGGGGTCTGAGTGTGATGTAGGAAGTACTAGTACTTTAGCCAGAAAAGATGCAAGATAGAAATGTCTTAGGTATCCTACTGCATGGTCAGTTTAGACTGTACTTTCTTGTATAAACTCTGTAAAAAAATGATTAAAAATATGCATGGTTACATGATTTTGCAGGAATAAAATAAGTGAAAAATGTCTACAACTTAAATATTTTGAACAAAACTTTCACTACCCAAAGCAAAAACATAAAAGAAGGTAGAACAACACCAAAAACTTTTTTCTGAGAGGCCTTTGCAGATCAACTAAGGCATGCTTTGCCATCCTGACAAGACATACAATGGTTAGTCCCCTCCTCCCCCTCCATCCCAGTCAGATGTAGACAAAACGTGCAATGGTTAGTCCCCCCATCACAATACCCAGTCAGGTGTAGCAGACAGGCTAACTAACACCCTGGTGACAACAATAATGCCCTGCTACTGGTGTTGATTATGGGATAATTCCCCGCCCAACCACAGCATAATGACCTTCTATAGTGGCCACAAGGCATTGTGTAGGTGTCAGTCTAATAGACTTCTAGGGGGATGGCCTAACACTCTCTTGCAATCAATGGGCAATTTATACTCTATTACAATTTTATATACTACAGCCTGACCAATATTGAAAAAAGAATGTTTTGTATACATAAATGAATACGTTGTATTATTTGTGCTTTCATGACTTGAAAGAAAGACTTCAAGACTTGAAAGAAAACTTAAAAGTAAAAACTGACAAATACAATGTACATTGTTACATGATTGTAGCATGAGATGTTGCCCTATTGCAAAGTCGATAAATTGTTTTTTACAATCAATGTTAGACATGCTAGAGATTGTGCAGAATTTGATAGAAAACAGTAGCCTAAAAGTTGTGAAATATGTGCCCTTTGGGACATATCTCCAATCCACTGACATATCCCAGTGCTCTGTCGATTTTTCAAACATCAATTTTGTTATGCATGGTGATATGTAGCACTACTGCACAAATCGGTATATCATGTATATAGAAAATTGAAATCATAGGCAAATATTACATTTTGAGGTTGCTGTGAAGTATAAAACACTTGTTCAAGAAATGGTTCATGATAAACTGGTACATTAGGATTTTGTACTGCCTTAAAGTTTTGTACCAACCGTAACTACGGGGCTCGAAATAATTGTTTCAGCTACACTGGTGCAGGTAACATTGAAAATTACCTGCACCAGGCAAATTTCACCTGCACTACTCAAACTTTAGGAAGTCTGGATCATACTAAAAACTGTTCAGAAACCATTGCCATTATTTCTTTTATACTCCAGAACAGAGATGGTATCAGTCAATGCACGAAATAAAAATCCACACACACCTACATTTGTATATGAACCCAGTACCAGTGCAAGTTAGGTGCAGGTAGACATCAGAAATACTTGCACAGCTCCAAGTTTACCCGCACTAAGGTGCATATGCATCCAGTTTATTTCAAGCCCTGTGTTAAACTATGATTTTGTACTGCCTTCAAGTTTCTATCACCCATAATGTACTCGTAAGTGCCTTTGGGCTCAATGCAGAATGACAGCTCTACCTTATCTGACAGCCATTCAAAACCGTGCTTGATTATTCAATCCAGGACCTTTAATGGCACTATAAATCCTGTCAGGAAATAGCCTTCACTCACACAATCCCCTCTGACATTCTGCGGATATTTCCTGTACCAACCCAAGCCACTCACAAATGTCAGATCTCAGATATGCCTTAGGCCGCAGCAAGTCAATTTTATGGATGACATCCTCTGCAGACTCTAAATCTAATGCGATATGGTAGAAAAAAAACAAGGCGGATAAAAAAAGCAGATTCCTACATTTTCAAATTTTGACTTCATAGACCTTCTTAAAACAACAAGTGATAACTATATTGTGCTGTGTTTACTGCCAACTGTGACAAAATCCATTTGTCACTGAAACAACAAAGATTTCAATCATTGTACAATATCACATGTACACAGCCAACATCACATATAAGAGGACTGAAATACATGTGTACATCACTGCATCAGAGTAGATGTAAAAGACAAAACATTAAATCAGAACCTTGTCTTGTCTCCTCTCTTCATATTTATCTGCCATCCACCTTCCGGCATGTCAACAGACATCTTTGCTCATTTTCGGCAAGTTGACCACTGTCTGATGGCAACAAAATTTCTTGTTTTTTTCAAAATCAGGCAAAAATTAATGCACATGCTGATGTCATCCATAAAAATGACTTGCTGTGGCCTTATGGGGATGTGGAGCAGAGTTCTGTAAATAGTGACCTTTCTGCCAGAGGAAGCGGTACACTGTATGGTAAATAGAACGGTGCCACAACATAAAAGGCTGGAGCAGTATAATGTCAGATAAGCACGATGGCGGCATATGTTCTATACATGCATATTTTTTTCTACCTGTCAAGTTTGGTATGGAATGATACATATTATGTACATACGGGGCATATTGTTTTGCCTACCTAGACTTAAAATCACTATGTACATGTAGTTCTTCCAATCCAGTGTTAGAAACCCCAAACAAAAAGGCTGGCATTAGGTATTTTGGTACAGTATGTTCTTGGAAATGCAATGTTTTGAATGACTGTAGATTAGTTTCATTTCATTGTTAATTTGATGCCAATGTGAGTGGTTACGTTTTTTTTTACTGGCTTCTCAATTATTCTGCCCACAAAAAGTGGTGCCATATTTTGTGGTTTTTTTATCATGTCATTTATCTATCACAGAGTGCCTGGCCTGAGTGGGATACTATATGTATATGGATTTTGAAGATTAAGCGCCGTATTCACTAGAATTTGGCCTTGGTGTAGGGTTAGTTACAGAAGAATAACTCTCTGTGGTACTATGGTGCAAGCCGTACATCGAGTCCCAAAGATGCGACCACAGTATGGGTCTGGTATTCTCGAAAAATGTAAAAACTAATAACCCCCAAGACACACTATTTCCTGCTTTTTTGAGGGACAAATTTTGTAGAGTCATGTATTCTGTTACAGCTTATTCTAAAGTCAAGTTTAAGTTTTTTTAAAGATCACAGGGTTCCCCCCAAAAGAAACACTACTACACTGGTTGAAAGACAGTTTAGGGGGCTAAATCACAGCATAGGGGGTCGAAATCACAGTATAGGTGGCTCCTACACTTAAACAGACTGGTTAGAACACTGGTAAGGCTTTTACAATTGTACATCTCCAAACTCATACCTTAGTAAAATGTTGAAATTTATTCTAACACAAGGGGTACACAGAGATCAAATTTTCAACAACCACAGTCGCCTTCATCAGGATAATTAATGACCTAACACAATCTGACTGAGCGTGGTTCTGCAAATGTTAACATCATTTTTTAAATGCCACATTTTTTCTGTTTGTTTCCTTTGCAGAAAAAAGACAAGGGAGGAGTGTTGTTAGACAAGGTGTTTAAGTACCTGGACCTGGTGGAGAGAGACTACTTCTGTCTCATGTTCCAGGATGACATTCCAGAACAGATGGTGAGTTATCATGAAAAGTGGTCAATTATTCTAATAACCAACCACTTTTTTCAGTATGCACCACTTATAATGTTACAGCCTGATAACCAATGGGAAATGGAGGCTTCTCATTGGTCTAGTCAAGTGGTCGGTTATTCTAATAACCGACCACTTTTTTTCATTATTTGCCACTTTTGATGTTATGGCCTGATAACCAATGGGAATTGGAGGCTTCTCATTGGTCAATGTCGCCCAGCTATATGATAGTGCTTACTAATAGATACTGTCTCCTTGTTGTCACTGAGGCCACGTTGATTTTATTATATTTATAAGGATGACATCAACACATGCATGAAATTTTGTCCGTTTCCAACAAGAAATGTTTCCGACCATACTGTAAATTGTACAAAGCAGCTGCAAAATGAGCAAATATATGCCATAGATTGCCCCAAAAAATATTGGAAAATGATACTAATGTTGTACAATGCCAAAACAACCCCAACAGAAAAGAAGAAAATGTGTGTGTTTAGTTAAGCTCTTGCCAACCTGATGAAATTTCTTTGAGGACTTTTCCAGTGTAACTGTTTTTTTTCTCCTGCCTACAGAGATGGCTGGATGCCCACAAACCCATTAGGAAGCAGATCAGAAGTGAGTACAATTATACAAAAACAAAATACTGCCTTTTCAGTAATGTACTACTAATCCTACCAACTCTTGTTTGAGAGATAAACATCAATCCCTTTCCCCACAAGCCAAATCAGACAACCGGCTCCAGAGAAAATTGCTAAGTAGAAACATAACATTTTCAAAGCAAATGCATAATATTTACCTGTGCATATGGTCTGCTTTGTTAATTCTTACTCAAACACATTCATATATATATGGTCAGACAGGAGTGTAAATCCCTCCTGCTATAAAATTGCAACATGATGTAACCCAACACTAGTTACCATGGTGACATACACCTGGTTCAGGTCATTGACCTTATTTGGAGGAGAAGGGGAAGAAGAAACAAAGCAAAAACAATATGTTTTCCTTTGGTAAACATAAAAATAGTCCAATCTGTGACACTACAGTTATCATTGATGGTAAAAGTTTTTTTTGTGCCAAGCTTAGAGTCTGCCAGTACTAGACAATGCAGAAATGAGAGTTACGAAGATCTCCTATGAGAATTCCAGCTGCAAAGTCATGAAATACCTTCTTGTGCTGCAAATTGACAAGTCGGTATTAGCCTAAGACTACAGGGAATTTGTCCCTTTCTTGTAACAGTATACTCTTAGGGAAGCCTTAAGAATATACCGTAATTCACTTAATGTTCACAGTAGCAAAATTTCGTGGTTTTCACAGAACTAAATGTTTGTGGTAACACTAACAGGGCTCTTAACAAAGACAAATTATTTTTCTTAACAATCTTAAAATCTTGTGTTAAAACAGTAAAGATAAGTTTGCAGTACAGAAGTGACAGTGAAAACCCTGAACATAAAAGTAGCATGAAAAAAAAATCAGGAATTACAGTATACTATAGGAAAATTCACGCACACCCACAATGCACCTGCAGGGCTCACAATGTAATTATAAATCTTTCAGCCCTCCCTTAGCGACACATGCAGCTTTTTGTCCATCTCCATTTGGTCCACCCCCGCAAAGATCTGAAATGGATGTCTCCCTAGATACTACACAGTGAAGAATTTAACACTCTTTTATATCAACTAGAGAAATAATGATAGATGAACAGCAAAACATTTTTGGGTAAAAGACACTAGGATTAAAAGAATTAGGCTTTGAAGTTTGTTTCATGATGATATCTAACATAATAAGATAATAATATGGCATTACATGTATTACCATGTTGCACCCCAGATTGTTGCCAGGATTTAATATTGTAAAAGCATCCAAGGGCAGCAAAACACAGAAAAAAAAATTTCTGGATGATGAAATCTGTTTGATACGGACATTTACTGCAATTTCGTAGCACATTTTTGTCATCATTTCATACTTGAGCTGTTTGAAATAGCCACAAAACATGCCATGTGAGCAGTCCCTTTATTTTTTGGGTACCACCCATAAATAGCTAGAACCAGCCTACGATACAAAACAAGCAACCGTTTTCTGTCAGTGACAAAGTATTTTTGCCTCACAGATACCAGTATGCTAGGGGATAGAATTGATTCAACTGACTACATTAAAAGAATGACCAGAAAAATTGACTTTGAAAATCTCTGACATTGTACAGGATACCTTTAAGAATTCTTATTATGGCTTCACTGAAACCATATTGCTTTTTCTGATGTTTCTTCTCCTCCTTCTTCTTCTCCTGCCATTTTTTAAATGGATTCAGCTTCTTCATTTTAGGGCCTAAGGTCCTGAAATTTGGTATAGAGGTACAGTGGGCAAATACCCCCAGGCGTTTTTTAAATTTTGGTGATACAGGCTTTTAGAATGGTTTTATTTGAGCTTTTTGGCTGTGTTATAGCAAATGTATTACTGTGCTGTGTACCACGTTTGGGCATGAGTCATCACAATGGAATGCAGGGCATCAACCAATAGGCATGCAGCTTTCCTCTATTCTTCTTGCTGATTGGCTGTTGGGATTTAACTTGATTAACACTTGCACAGAGCATTTCCACCTGCACAGAGCATTTCTTGCTGATTGGCTGTTGGGATTTAACTTGATTAACACCTGCACAGAGCATTTTCATACTGACAGTATGTCTGTATTCAAGTGTTTTGGTAGGTATTTCAAGCTTTCCTGCTCCAGCATTGGAATGCGGGGCATGAACATTTTTTTTTTTTTTTAAATTAACAGTTTGCATTATGCAATTAAAAATCCTAACCAATAATGTAGGGAATAGCTATCCAACTGTTGTTTTAGTTGTATGTTACTTCATATTATAGTTATATCAATGTAAATCATTGTTTTCCCTTGTGTTTCTCATTCTTTCCCTACCATGTCGTAAAATGTGGTGAAGCCATCGCTGTATTTGCTCCTAAGCAAATATTGGCCTTTCTAGTTCAAAATAACTCCTTGAGATAACCAAACATATCACAACATTTGTTGTTGTTTCAACCATTTTAACGTGACTGTCTATGTTTTCATATAGTTGCCTACATGTATAGCAAAAGTATGATCAAAGGTTATCTCAACATGCGTAAAGCCCTGATGTATTGAACATCAATACAAGCTGTTCATTCTCCTTTATGGAAGGATATCCCAGGATAAGCCTGGAGTTTTGAATATCAGAGAAACTTCCTTTTGAATATTTCATGTGTGTAAGTGTTTCTGTCTAGGTCCTCAGGGAGGCCTGGCTTTGGATCATAGGTAGAAAGGATGCCTGGATTCTGTTAGAGAACTTGTCAACGTTGTTGCAAAGTTGCTATCATGCTAGTGCATGTTATGTTCTCCCTTTTGACTCATGATATTCCTAGATATTCAGATTTTTTGTGTATTAATTATTATAATTGAACGACAAGAGAAGACTCAAGTAAAAGGCTATTTTAACATCCAAAGTATGAAAAACTATGAGGCCAAAAGACAAATGATTTGATATTCAATATTAAATGGTATTTATACATGTAAGTTCATGGTACAGAAGTGACCATAAAAGCCATGAACATAAAAGTACTGTGAAAAAAAATCTGATAACACAGCTACAATTATATGTATGAGATCACTGATATATATGCACAAGTCTGGTAAAAGTCTTATGCTTACATGTACATGTCTGTTGACATTTCAGTGTGCCAATGTTGTTTTCTATGTCTCTTGTTCCAGCGGGATCTCCCTACAGTCTGTATTTCAGAGTAAAGTTCTATGCAACAGACCCTAGCAAACTTCAGGAAGAGTACACAAGGTAGGCATACTTTTAGATTTAAGGTTGTTTTGGTCTCTGTCACTTATTAAGGAATGGGATGGGCTCTGCCTTCCAATACCATGTCCTAGACACAGTGGAGTAACAATCCACTGCCACTATGGCCTCGAAGGCTATGAGATTTTAATCTTTACCGTACATGCCTCTCCTAGATATCATGTCTTGTTCATGTAGAGTTAAAAGTGAATCATTGCATTTTATCTCCTTATTTTAGGTACCATTTCTTCCTACAACTGAAGAAGGACATTCTTGAAGGAAGGTAGGCTGTTATCTTTTTAACTTGTGCTCTTAACTTGTATTATTCAATGAAAAACTTTGTTTTCAATGTACGGAATTGTTCCATGAATATACATGTATGTATGTTCTGTATGATCAGAATCTGATACAACAACCTGCTGTTGAGCTCCAATGGATCTATATATCAGTATTACTAATATTATTATTGTAACAAAAAAACTCATTTTCAACCATGTTTCTTGTTCTTGTTTTTCCAGATTACCCTGCTCCCCACATACTGCTTCCCTGTTGGCGTCGTATGCTGCACAATGTAAGCACAATTAAAGACTTTGCACCCTAAATGTACTGGTGGTAGCTAAAAACTGCTTATCTTTTGAGATAAAAACCTCTTTAAAACCTGGTCATCTATTGTGCTAGATACAATTGGTCTGCAAGTAAAGCCCCTATCACACATTCACGATCTTACGCCAAATTTCTTCCCAAACGCCCGCTAACCTTGTTTGGTTGACGTTCGGGAGCAGCCTTTAGGCCACACCTACCTATGGGTATGAATCAAAACAGATTTGAGTTAAATTCGAGTCAAATTTGACCCCCAGACACAACTCAAAAACTGCTGACTTACTCCCAAATGGTTGGCTGTTGTTCTGCTGACTTACAGTCAAACACAGCAAACCTTGGTCAAATGTCCTGACCAACCCCCGAATTTTTTAAACATTTTGAAACATTTAGCTAGTAACGGAATTTGTGCCAAGCTACTCCTAACTATACCGTCATGTAGTCGCAGGGTGTTCTACTAGGTGTTCAGGAGGCCAAATTCGTGAATGTGTGTGTCTGTGACAAGGGCTTAAGAGAGTAGGCTTATTCCAACATTGTCTGTTTGTTATCCAGCTGAACTGGGTGATTACGACCCATCAGAACATCTGCCAGGTTACCTGCAGGAGTTCAGATTCGTGCCCAACCAGTCCCCAGAGTTCGAGAGGGAAGTAGAGGAACTACACAAAAGACATGTGTAAGTATCGCAGGTTGAGCCAAGGTTGTGTGGAAAGATGCCAGTTCATCATATTTTGAAAATTTGTCACTCTTTTAATGTGAGTGATTGTGCCTTTTTTGCGGCTCCCCCTGTTGACCATCCTTATTACTGCATGAGGTACAACCATTGAAAGCTATGGATCACTATGTTTATACCTAGAAAAGTATGAAGGGCAAAGACTTAAGTACCCGTTTAATACTGGCCTTTGTCCTGCAGCAAAAGACCAGTGCTGGTTTTTGGATGACCTATGACTTGTAACCTTGTAACCTTTGAACCTTGTAGAGGTCAGCCCCCATCAGAGGCAGAGTTTAACTACCTAGATCGAGCCAAGAGGCTGGAGTTCTACGGAGTTGACCTGCACTATGCTCGGGTAAGACAAAGAGGTCTTACACAGATGATAACTTTCCAACAGGTAGGAGTATCCGATAATGCATGACGAATTACCAGTAATGCCAATTTGGAACCTTCGAATGAAAGCTCATCTGTGTTGGTAGAATCAGTAGTTGTAGGGTTTAAACTTTGTTCCAGCACAAGACAGGAACTTACCATGAATTTTTGGTCGATCTCGTCAACCTTCGTCAGATGTATGATCCATTCACTGACTCTCTGGAAGTTGGAAGCGTGATGACGTCAGGAGATTTCGTCTTCCCGCCACTTTCGATTCACGTCATACATCTGACGAAGGTTGACGAGATCGACCGAAAATTTTAAGTTGAGTTCCTTTCTTGCCTTGAAACAAAGTTTGAACTCTACAACACTGTAATTTAGAAGCTTGATATTAGGCGCAAGATCATGTATCACTTTTTGAGGCATTCTGTCTAGTTAATTTTTAGAAATTGTGCTACTGCGTGATGTTATTTAGTCATTGCTATACATGAAATGAAAAGTATGCATGTAGCTGATTGTAGTGCTAAAGAAACATTCAAGCATGGATATTATTTTTTGACAAGGAAAATGTATTATCTACATTGAGTGGCCTAGTTATTCTAGGATGTCCCTATTCTTTGCCAAACTGAAACTTTATTTCTAACAAACTCCAATAATTTGGTGATTGTGGCAGCTTTTCTCAGCACTTTCGATCTCCATTCTGTAATGTACTTAGTAATTCCACTTTTACCCTGTGCTTCAACAAAGTGGCTATTTGCTTCAGTACTTCTTGCATCCTCTATTTGAAAGCATCACTTCGGTGTAGGGTTGCTTAGTACCTAGAATGGAGACTTGAAGAGAAAATAGCCCTATAGTTACTAAAAGGCCTTGGTGGTTGGGTTGTCTACTGGCTTGCTTGCATGCCAACTAACATCTTTATTTGCCTTCTCTCCTCTTTCCAGTACAACCATAGCCTCTCGGTGAGTTTTCCTTGTTTCACGGACCCACGGTGTTCCTTTTGTAGAAAACTGTGGGTCCTGGAAAATGTAGAGTAGACATGGAGTCCCCACGTAGCGAACTTTTTTTCTTGGGCACTTTTCACTGCTTTTGCATCATATTATACACACAGCAGAGAAGATTTTAGCAATCCCCCAGAATACTTTGCAAAGGACATGTAATAATGAGAGTTCAAGAAATTTTTTTTTTTTTTCGTAATCAGATTTAATGTGCAATGAGATGTAATGTAAAGCCATGTAATGAGATACACAAGAAAATCATTACTCAAGCAACTGGATAGGTTTTGAAAACAGTCAGACATTTCTGAATTAGCGGCCACTGACGAAAAGTAGTGGCTGCTACTTGAAACATCTAACAGTTTGAAAACCTATCCAGTTGCTTGAGTAACAATTTCCTTGTTTAAATCTCGCTAGCTTTTTAAGGAAATAAAAGTTTGATATTCTATCTTTTCTTGTCAAATTTGACATTCATTTACCATTTTAAGAGAAGAAGATGGAAGTTTTACTATGATAAGTTTTACCAAAAATTTTTGCAAAGATTCTGGGAATGTTGCGTCCTCTCTGTAGATGTAATTTTGCCACCTCTATACCAGGATGTGCTGTGCTTTTCCTTCTGTAATGCATGACTAAATTTCTGAATTTTTTTAGCATGTGATCTAGTGCTATGTTTGAGACACTTGAATATGCATGGCATTGCACGTTTGGCTTCTGTGTGTGCTAATTATAAACTGTGTGTTTATGTTTACATGTTGTTAAGGAATGTTGATTTCTTATTTACTTGTTTATCTTCCACAGGACCAAAGTAACCTGGAGATCCAGTTGGGGGTTACGGCAGCAGGCATCAGTATTTATCAAAACGGGGTGAAGATAAACACATTTTCATGGTGAGAAACAAACAAACAAACAAGAAAACAGCGTAGGTTAGCTGTGTGTATAATTAGAAAAGCCAGCTTGATAAATCTTTCTCTGTCTGACGGTACATGTGATATCGCAATGTTGGTTGTCTGCCTGATTTTGAAATTAACAGCAGTTACAGCTGCAGTACCATGTGTTGAAGCATGGGGGCTCTTGTACAAGTGTTGAGCTGCTTTTGACATTGTACATGTATACATGTTTGTCAGCCTAAAGTATGCCCTTCAGTTTGCTTGAGTTTACAAAGAATGTGTGTTATTTTTGTACACATTTGAGCCACATTTCACAACTTGTCATCATTCATGTTTTTTTTTCAATGTGTCCCCTTCCTTTTGTTTATTCTTTTTGTTGGTAAACACTGATGTTGATGTTTCCGCTTGCAGTCTTTGAAAGTGCAAGCTGATGGTCTCTTCTCACTCTTGGTTTCTTTGATATTTAGTTGTAGTAGTCACCCAAAAGTGCATTTTAATTTTCCATTTTCCTTGTACAATGTATTTACAAACAGTTCTACTTAACCTGCACTTCTCATGATTTAGTCGCTATCCTATGAAACATCCTACAACACAGAAAACTGGCATTGTCTGATCTAGCACATTTTAGCAAAGACTGTCATACCTCTAGCAAATCTTCCCTAAGTCCAGTCCCTTTATGTCTAACTTGTACAACAAATGTACAAAACTGCCCTGCCTTACATGACTAAATCAGCCAGTTCTTAATGTGATTCTTAAGTTATTCTTACATTCTCAACCATTATCTTAAGTGCACAATCCTTCAAACCTTCAAATTATGATCATCCCCTAGTTATGCCATAGTCCCAAACTTAAATTCTTACCTGTCTTTCCTCAAAAAATCATTGCAGACCACCTCATACCCTTCCCTCCCCCCACATACAGTCTATCCAAGAGCACAATCCTCAAAAATTGTCTTTCCTCAAAAAATATATTGCAGACAAGCTCGTACCCTCCGCCACCTCACCCCACACACACACAGAAATCTTGTTGTCCTAAATGAATCATCTGTCCAAGGGCTCAAACCTTCATGTTACAATCGTCTTCCAGTTATGCCATACATTTAGTCCCAAACTTAAATTCTTACCTCTCTTTCCTTAAAAATCATCCCCAACCCCCCCATCCCCCCCACACACAGAAGTCTTATTGTCCCAAATAATTCATCTGTCCTTGTGGTAACTTACCCCCACCCCTCTCAACAAATTATATTATGTTGGAACTGCAAGGCAGCGGTAGTGTAGCCACGAGTTATGCATGTTTGCCATACACTTTCTCACCCTAGGGACAGTGCCAGCAGTTCGATCTCACCCCATACCAGACACATGTGAGAGCTTTCCCTTAGTTTGGTTGGTTTTGCCGTAGATGTAGCTATCTGTGTGTGTGGAAATATCACTGGGATTCAGATAGAAAGTCCAGACACTTTCATTGTACCAAACAGTGCATCTGTGTGACGCGTTGCTGTGTTTTCACAACATCACCAACAACAGAGGTGTGATACCAACATCATGTACATCGGTGTGATACCATTTACATGTGCTTCAACCCAGAATGTGCATTGTCTGAAGTCTGTGGATTTGTAGTAGTGCATGTTAGACATTGCCCTATCAAATCTAATAAAAAAGCTAGAACACAATCACTTGCACTAGTTACAATTGCTAGAACACACTTTTGGAGTGAAATTCTGACAGAGACACCACCGGTTGCTGACCACAATAGAATGTACTGCACCTGTGCATAATCTGTAACGTAATGTCCATAGCACAAAAGGTATCATTTTCGGTCATGCTTGGTTATTTAATGATGACATTGCGTCTGTAGTTTTCATATGTTTTGTCGGAAAAGATATTGTCTGCACCGGGCAAAATTCTGATGCAACGTTGACCAAACGTCGAACAGAAAAAGGTTTTGCACAGACACAGTACGTTCTACCAACATGCTGCCACAACTGATTTTTCCACAACTTGTGTAGTTGTAGTTCTGTAGTTAGTAGGCTGCTCAACATGACGCTTCAAGTGTGCAGTGCAGAAACAAATCTTACACCAAAGTCTTGTGTTAACTCTTGCCTGACGTTTTTTTTGTTACTATGTTGCTTAGGGCCAAAATTGTCAAGATTTCATTCAAGAGAAAACAGTTCTTTCTCCAGCTACGAAAAGAACCGGTGAGTTTACTTGCATTTTATGCTCTCAATGTGTTACATTTATATCTTACCAATTGTGATATGATTTAATATGTAGTTTTTCAGCAAAACATTAAAGTCAATATGTCTAGACTCAAAATTCTAGTCTAAGTTGAAACAACACTATCCCAATGTATGTCAACATTCATGGAGCAAAAATGCCAAAATGTGTGACGGTAAAATGGTTACTAGTACAATGTGTACTAGAATTATCCTGAGCTGATTTTTGGGGTACCACCCAAAAAATAAAGGACTCATCTTGGGACCTGTTTCTGTGCTGTTTTAAACGCCTAAAGTATGACGTACTAAATGTAAGTGTCCTAATAGTATATGGGGCAGTATGTAGTATATATAAATATCATACAGATTGTCTTAGAATATTTCCAATTTTTGCCACTCTGAAATTGCGTTAGATGCCTCTAGTAGTAGGTAGAAGAACATTCTTTAAATGTTCAAACCGAACTATGCTATAAGGCGACTTGTTACAATATTGTTTGTTCTCCACAGAATGATGACCGAGAAAACGCCATCGGATTTAACCTGGCGAACTACCGTGCCTGTAAGAACCTGTGGAAGTCCTGCGTGGAACACCACACCTTCTTCCGCCTGGACACGCCCAAGCTGCCTTCCCGCCGAAACATGCTCACACTCTTCAAACTAGGCTCCAAGTATAGATATAGGTATGAGTATAGATGTGTACATATTCAGTATAGATTCAGGTGCGTCGGTGAAGGTTTGACATCCAGGTAATAAGATACGCCAAAAATGGTCAGACGCTTCAGGAAGCATCCACTACTTTTCGTCAGTGACACTAAGAGACCAGAGGCAAATATGTGTGTGTATGTACATGTGTGTATTAGGCAAAGGAAAAAAATGTTGTGTTTCCTGTTTCTCATTAGAAAAAAAAGCCGACCCTAGACTTTTTGTTTGGACTCCTGCAAGGGACATAATTTTCAAGCTGATCAACCTTCATGATCTGACACCTGACGTTAATTGGAGGTCCCATGTTTGGGAGAACCCACCACAACTTTCAAAAAAGAGTAGGGGTATCAGTAATCACACACAAGAGAGTTTAGGATTTCTTTTGACTAATATAATATCAGAAGAACTTGTTCCATTTTCATGTACACCTCCGCTGCAATCTTTCTCTGTCAGTCTGTGTGTTCTTCATTGCTGCTCACACCATTGTTATTCCACCTACAATTAGATTCTCAATGAATGTGTCTTTCCTTGCAACAAAAAATTCTGCTTTGTGTTCTTTCTTTCACGCTAGAGTGTGTTTTTTTTCCTTGAAAGGGCAGTTGTCTTTCAACCACTTTCACCCAAGACCTAATTCCCAAAGTAAAAGGTGAAAGTGTGAAAGACAGCTTGCCGATCGTTCTATTGCAGAGGTCTCTTCAGTATGTTCAAGTTGGGGTCCAAGTATAGATATAGGTGGGTGTAAGGTAGATACAGGGGATGGAGTAGCATGGAACGTTCACACTTCATTCTAGTGCACGGAAAAGCCAAGGTATGGACCAGAAGAGCTCGGGGAAGGCTGAAAATGTTAAGAAAAGAATTCTGCAGTCTTTTAGAGTCCTAAGAAAACAAAATCTGTACAAGAAATGCCAAAAAACAGTTACTCAAGCAACATGATTTTGGTAACTGTCAGACATTTCAGGTAGCATCCACTACCTTTCATCAGTTCATCAGTGACACTGGTCACTGTCAAGGTCAACAGGTTTATAATCACAAAATATTATGCCAAATTAAAGTGAAGACAAATTTCTGCACAAGAAAGTTTCCCCCAAAAAAAGGACAAACTCCATAACCAAGAAAGTCTGTGCAAGAACATTTTTCAAAGCACCCCCCTCCCTGATCCTTATTGGTCTGTGCCAAGGTAGGTTGGTTGTGTAGGCCATGTTGTGTGCTATTGCAACATGTGTGTGTGTGTGTGTGTGTATCATTTTGCATGATAATCAAAGCTTTGTTATTGTCCTCTTGGAGCATGATATGAAAGTTGAATATACATGTAAGTAAAAGATAGACTATAGGTGCATGGGAGTGTTGTGGGCCATGAAAAGCAAAACAAAGGATTTCATTTGACATTTAATTTAATTAAGTGTGCACTAACCACAACTGATGGTTTCTAGATAGTAATTTTTTTCAGGTAAGTTTAGTCTGACATATTTCCTGTTACACAAGAGCATTTTACTGTAACAATTTATGTGTCTGTATACATGTGTGGTAAATTATACCAAAGAAATACAAATTAAAGGTTCCTTTTTTTTGCAGTGGAAGAACGGAACGACAAACAATAGAACTTGGCAAAGAAGAAGGAAATAGAAACAGACAATTTACCAGGTAAACACCACAGAAATACATCCAACATAACTCACAATGGACTAACACTGCACTTGGCAGAAAACAAGACCATGTACATGTACTTCACTGCTGCGCTTATGTACATGTAGTATCTAATAACTTGTAAATGTTTTTCTTGTGCAAAATCTCATCGTAGAAAGCTTAGAATGCTCGGTTTGCAAACTTTGCTGATGGCTAAGCAGATTTTTTAACAGCCAGGATGGACTTAACGAGATATGTAGTACACCAGATTAGATGTACATCCGTATATGCAACTCACATCAAAAGGATTTAATTAGAAGATTGCAAGCACTGTGTTGAAAAGATGTGATTGTGACATGACATAACATGTAACATAACTGTGAACGGTTCTTTCTGTTACCCACTGTTACACCAGTGTCCTTGTAGCGTCCGACAATGTCGCGTTTCCGTCGTAGAGAAGTTGCGCGGTGTCACAACCCATCAAGCCATGTCTGCATGTCTCTCTCGTGTTGTTTTTTGCTTTGCTTGGCTTTTCGTTGGTCACGCTTTGCCTCACATATTCATCCCCGACACTTGTGTGCCCTTGTGCGACAATCAAGGAATCCTTTCTTCAGGACTCCCAGTAAGAGGTACGCCAGGCGGACCATCGGCGGGATCACCCGGGACGTCATCAAGGACGAGATTCGTAACGAGGAGATCAGACGCTCACTCGTGCGCCAGTCCCACTCTGTGTCTGCCCCGGGTTTGAGGAATATGTGAGTACAGAGCATCTGCTTGTAGAGCTGTATTTTCTACATTTTTAAGGCCATGTTGATATGATTATATGGATGACATCCTCTGGGAACCCCAAAACTGATGCAAGCATGCAAATAAAAAAAGTTTGGCAAAAAAAAGATGCCTTCATTATGAAATCTACATGGTCATGAAGGTTAAACAAATGACTAAACACACAGTATGGTATGGCAAATTATAGACTCCTCAATTCAATTTCTTCACATTTTCGTACTGATTTTGGCATTCTGCGACTTAAGTGTCATTTTCCAATATATGTTTTGAAATTTTGCAGCTGCTTTGTATGATTTACAGTATGGTCGAAAACTGTTTTTCTGGAAACGGACGAAAATCCTTGTGCACACAATGAAACAGATGTATCACTAGTGGATAGCACTTTAACCCTAACCTAACCCTACCTCTGTAACAGCAATGGCTCTGCTGAACTGCTGGAGAGAAGACCGCCGTCCATGTCTTCCCCCACCAAGGAGATCCCCATCAGGAGGGCGTGGTCAGACGGACACCAATCAGAGGAAGAGTAGGTTTCTAGGGCCAATCCATTTGAAAGGCTGGGGAGGGGGGCGTCAGTCATTTGACAAAAAAGGGAATACTAGTATGGTATCAGTGGTTCATTTACACTCCATGAAATGGTGCGTTATTGTTTTAGAAATTGCAATCAAAAAGGGCAGAGTGTGAAAAATCATTCTTTTGATTTTAAATCCACTTCAAATTTTAAATGGAATACATATGTACAGCTACATGTAACTCTGGTATGCATTTGGGGAGTTGTAAGAATCGCTTTGACCTAAACGTTTTTGGAGCTTTTGTTACCATTATCTCGAACATTTTGACAAAATAGGTATTACGGTTAGCTACAAACGTTCACATGGTAACTTTGAATACAACATGCAATTCAATGTGTTCCAGTGTATTCTTAGTCACATGAATATAAATCTTTTCATGTATTCTTGGAAAAGTGTCTGACTTTTACATAATTGAGCTTTCTGCTGCTACAGAAACATGCAGACTGATTCAATTTTCACCAGAACAGATAGAATTTTTCCCTGAAAAAAATTATCCATTACCATATACAAATGTTTACACTTTGCATCACAAGAGATTGGTAGCATTACATAATTGTATGCATACTGTAATACTGTAATTCACTTTATGTTCGCGGTAGCAAAAGTTCACGGTGTAAGAAAAATGGAGGTGTTCACGGCACTATATGTTAAAAATGGCAGCAGGTGCAGAAAGAAGAAAGTGGGCGATTTATTTGTTAACTGATAACTGATAAATGATAACGGTACAGAAAAAAACGTGTACATTAAAGTACCGTGAAAAAAAAATCAGGAATTTACATTTTCATATGCAAACATTTTCTTGTGCGTCATAGCAGGCCAGCGACCCAGGTGACCCTTATCCATGTGAAAACGTGTGTAACGTGTGACTGCTACAAATTGCGGCCTTATTGTTGATTAGTCTGAGGGTGGCTGGGATTATTTCTCGTCGGCTAGTCACGTCCCAGGTCCTACGTATCTGTTTTGCTCACTCAAAGAAGGCTGAAATAGATGTTTTGCGATTGATGTTTTGTTCGGCAACCATGAGCTACTGTAGTATGCTTCACCTCATCTTACCTTTGAAAGTGTAAGTCCTTTTCTTTCAAAGGCTTCTTTTGCAAATTTTCGAGCTTTTGACCCCCAAAAAAACGCACTGGTAGAAAATGTAAGAAGACGGAATGTTTAGGTATGATATCGCTGCAGATAGTAGTCACTATATTGTATACTAGTAGCTGTTAATACAAATGTATGTGTATTTTTCGTTATGTTTCAGTGAGGGAGGTTTTGCTCCAGACTACATTACACGAGGGAAGCAGTTTAAGGCTTACAGTGAAGATGGCAGTTTTACAGAGAAGTCATATGAAGTCCTCCCATCTTACAATGAGAACTTGGTAAGACCTGGCTTATATGCTTTGTGTTCCATGGAGAACCAAATGTGTACAACAGAATTATTTTTTTTCATATCTCGTAAAATGTTTCCTTTTGCAATATTTTTATAGCATACTGGACTGAAGGTGAAAAATGTTAATTTTTTTTCATATTTCATAAAATGTTTTCTTAATTAAGTTTGCAGTATTTTTCATAGTCTACTGGGCAAAGGTTGAAAAATTACTTGTTTACCTAAAATGTTTCATTTTTGTTTCATATTTCGTAAAATGTCTCCTTTGCAGTATTTTTAACATGACAAGTCCTTGCTATGTGCTTTGTATTCAATGAAGAACCATACCATGTACAACAGAATTTTGTATCACATGTATGAATATGATTTTGTTTTCCACAGCCCAACGGAAACCTGGTTCCAGACAACAGCATTGTTCTCATCCGGATGAAACCAGATGAACAGGGGCGATTCGGCTTCAATGTCAAGGTAAACACTTCTACATGTATATGTAGTGAGGAAGACGAAAACGTTCTCCATTTTTTCATTCTTTTTCAGTGGGAAGGACTAGCTGTTAAGGTATTTTTTAACTTGATGTTACAGTAACAGTCTTTCTCTTCTACAATTATGTAACTACTACATTCTCTAGACAGTGTAATTCTTTTTTAATAATTATTATTTCATTTTTCGATCTCCCTATATGTATCTCTGCCTTCATAAAATAGCTGTGAATAGTAAATGTTTGTTGTACTTTGCTACCATTATCATTTTCTGCATACTAAAGTCTAAATATTTTTCATGTTTTTTAGGGTGGAGCAGACCAGAATATGCCTATCATTGTATCAAGAGTTGCTCCCAGTACCCCCGTAAGTAATATCAATGTAAATATATCAATATTCTTTGTCATAAGCATCTAGAAATATTGTAATGCTGTATAAAATCATAATTCTGTCTATAAAACATCCTTTGTAGCATATAGCATAGTTTTACTCTACGTTTGTATTGTCTGCACACAAACACGCACACATACTCACACGCATGCACACACACACACACACACACACACACACACACACACACACACACACACACACATATATATAAACACATTCAAACACACACATTGTCTTCTTACATATGTTACAATATGTCCTTAATAATATACCATTCAAAATTTGGACCTATAGTTTTTTAGAAGGATTTTTTGTATTAGACTAAAAAATATTATGAATTTAAGGTTGTAAACATTCACTGCTAAACCATTGTTTTGGCCTGCAATTCTAATGTTTTGCCACACTACCATGGCTACGACATTGCTCATTTGCATATCCAACTACTAAACACAAAACATTGTGTAGGCCCAATGGACATTCATTTTCTGAGCCCAAAGCTGACATATTTCTTTCTTCACAAATAAAGAGTCTTGATATAGAAACCATTGTGTGAAACAAAACAGAATCCAGTATTCTTCTTTGCAAGAAGATTTCTGATAATAGAATTTGCTTATTAGTCTGGGTATCTGTCCTAGAAAAATCATGTAGGTCTCATGTCTTATTCAATAGACATGTTATCTAACATGTTATTTTTAGTGACATTTAGTGTAAGGTGTTGAAACTTGCATGATGGAAATTGATTTTATTATTTTTATAATTGTGTGATATGATATGCTATAGGATATGAGAATATGAGACTCACAGAGTTGTTTAGATTTAGACTTAAGGCCACACCAATTTAATTTCTTGGTTAACGGATTCGCCGCTTCATTTTTTTCAGATTTGCAAATAAAAATAAAAATTCAGAATCAACTGCAAAATGCTCATATTCTGCCATGAACAGTTGAAAACAGTCCTTTTCTTACTACTTGCTACAGTCATTCCATCTTTCAATGCAGTGGTATCAATAAAAGTTCAAAAATCATTGTTTAAATTTTGAACCAGCCTGGTGTGTTGACTTCATGGCTCCTATCGTACCATTTTGGGCCATGATAGGATGCCTAGGCCTGTTTTTTTTTTTTTTTTTCGTTCCCGCTCCCTCCATTATTTTTCTAGAAAAATCCGTTAACCAAGAAATTAAATTGGTGTGGCCTAAGGAACAGTTGTAAAGACTGATTCTGATAATTATTTAGCCTGTAGGCAAACGAATAGCTTCAAATCACTCAATATGCTCATTAGGGTTGAATTTGCATACTAGGTCTTTCATACATGTAATTACATAAATGAGCAACATGTCATTGTGAGTGGGTTTTCTCTTCTGATTATGCAATGGTTATTATTGCTTATACGTAGTACATCCATGTAGTAAGAGGGTGATTGCCTGCACATAGGCTCTAAAGTGATTTGCTTTTAACTCATTATCACAGAACAGGTGTTTAATGGGAGCCACAGTTACACTAATTACATTAGCCTAATCATATGGATACATGTTGTACACATTTAGATTGCCTTTTGTCTTTCCAGTGAAGTGTGATTATGGGTGGGCCGGTGACTGCTGATATCTGATATCTTGAGTTTGAAGCTTAGTAATTCATGGAAAATTTTTGTTGTTGTTTACTACACACAATGCCTTGTGCAACTGTTTGGGTCTTCTGCGTGTGTGCATGGTCCAGTGGTTAGCGACCCTGCCTCTGAACTAAGAGGTTGGGAGTTCGAATCCCGGCTGTTGTTGCTCACTCAACATGCACGCTACTGGAAACGGTTGCAGTCCTTGGGATGAGACGTTAAGCTGTGGTCCACAGTTCATTTTGCTTGTCGAAAATAGCTAGGGGAAGTTTCCTGGTACTACATGTATGAACCTGTAAATACTGTACATATCTAGACATTCAAGATTTGTAAAACAGTTTTTCGGTATGCCCAGCCACTCTATACAGCAGTAGACATTCTGGGCAGTGAATCTGTACAGATTTGTTTGCCAGTGTCAAATGATGTCTTGAATCTAGATATGGCCTGTGTATAAGATGAAGGTGATATGGTAGAAAAATTCATTACACAAGCTAGGAGATTCCTCTTTACTGGGGAAAACCCTTCAGATTAATGCTTAAGTTCCTGCTACATTACCTTGATGAAACGAGAAGTGCCCTTATTACCCTTACATAATGGCATGCCAAACTGTAAGTGGTAATACCATCAGCACTTTCCCCACTTAATCACACTGGTACAGGCCATCAAATATGGGAAAAACCCATCAGTGCTTCAAATTTGAGGACTGCTTTTAGGCAGTTTTGCATTCGAAGGTAGGTTGGAGAGGAGGCAAGTCAGTACATCTGACATCGGTGAATTTCTGCAGCAAATTTTTCCTGTGGAAAAAGATCTAGAGGACTCGCTGTGGGCTTACAACTGAACTTATGGGACTAGAGAACAGCTCTGATTCGTAATTTCACCTGACTACATTTGCTGAGGAGTGAGTTGCTATCCTTTCTAACTGACACAAGAAGAAGGAACATTGGCAGACGTTGTGAAGGAGTATCACGGGCCCTTCCGGACCGGGACGCTGTGTACACAGTCTTGTTTGAACACTCATAGCTGCGGAACCAAACTTTCCCTGGTTGTTTACAACAGTCTGAACCCTGTTGAATCATCTGAGTGTCAGAACGTACACAAGTGGGCCAGGGATTTCATCAGCATTGCAGGTAGCTGAAGTCATTTTACATCCAACATCAAGCTTTGGGATAGCAGCAGAGGTTTGGTGCAGTGAACAGTGGATGCTATATAGAGGAACACATTCTCCATTGATAAAGGAACAGTCAACCAACCTGGCAAACCAGAAGTAGAGACTGTGTGACCACGGATTTGGAAGACACTTATTTCTTTTGAGTCACCATACTGACTGCATATGAAGTCTTCAGAAAGACTCTAGTTTTCTATTCATTCTATTCATTCATCTACATGTACTAGTAGCCCTATTTCCTTGTGAGTGCTATTGTACATGTATGTCAAATTGTAGCTGTGGTATCTGTATTATTTTTTCTCTTATCAGGACTATTAATTGCTTAGCCTAATTGATTTTTATCTCAAGGCTGAAAAGTTGCAGGCCTTCTTAGAAAGAATCCCTTGCCTAAGGGTATAAAAGGGAAAGTATAGAAAGCTGAGACAGCAGTCTATCCACGTGCCAATTACCCAGCCTACACCTGATTACACAGGTGTGCAGATATCGTTTATGTACAAAAAATCTTGTTGATAGTTTTGCAGCCAAACTTCAAAGCTGTAGGATTGGAAAGAGGCCATGTTTTGATGTGCATAAGGACTGGGTAGGTTGCGAAGAAACCAGAAGCCACTATCACAAAGGAGTCTAGGTTAGTGGGATTTGCCAGACAAAAGGACAAAGACTTTAGTACTAAATAGGTCTTCTACAGACAGCCCACTTTATCTGATTGATAGCCTCAAGTATATTAAGTTGTTAGCTTCGCAGTCAGGTCTACTATTTATCCTTGCTGTCATACTGTTGATTTTGGAGATCAAGAGAGAAGGTATATTGTGGTAGTGGTTGGCATATTTTGCTATCACAATTTTGGGGAAGAACGTTTACTGGTGCAACAAGGTAGGAATTTTTTCTGTTTTTTCCTGTGACCCTGCTGAAGTCAGTTTAAAATGACGAAGTACCAGTTGTTGACGTCTGCGAAGCCTAGTCTGTACTACTATCTGGACGTATTAGTTGACAGATATTTCCTAATCATACTACTGTTCATGTGCTTCGCGCACTACGCTGCCGTGTTTGCCATGGCCGCTCTCGGCGTGTTACATGAAAAGCTGCTCCTTGCCGTGTATTTCTTTGATGTGGCCTTCATAACTTCATTGATGGTGTACTGGGCATATTTCAAATCCACCCGTGCTAATACGCTAGCAGCAGGTACCACTATGTGAGAGATACAAAGTACCAAAATAACAAAAAAATAATGTTAGGAAGAGAGCAAGATAGCAGTGGTATGAAGTGATATAGCAATGAGATAATGTGCAATATTTTGCAATGTTGTAGTTTTGATGTTTGTTTGAGTGTAAAGCAATTTGAATTGTGATGTAACAAACAATATTGTACAACAGGTTTGTTTGAAAATGTCTCGAAATGTAGTTCAAAATGTAGCTTGTTGCTTGTGCTGTATGAATATGCAGAATGAACTGGAGTCGTATCGATTACACACTCCCTGTGTGCGTCAATAAATAATATATACGCACACATAGATACGTAAACGCACGACCGTCTGACGTCTGCAAGTGGCTATACAGTACGTAGATTTCAAGGATATTGTCTGTGTCGACAAAAAGGATAGTAGACTGATACATTACAACATTTGACATTGCGATTTGTGACGTTTACGTTTCTAACTTGTGCTGCAGAGTGAAAATTAAAATGTCTTCTCTGTGATGCAAGTGTGGCTGTCGTGACATCTTGAGTGGGCCAGTGATGCGTAGGTTGTCGTCATATCATGTCTGTATGATATGATATGGCTGGGAGCTTTTTATGATTATGTGGGGGCAGGTTGTATAAGTAACTGTTCTGTGGTTATTGTCTTCAGTTGTCTGTGAGGTTGATACAGTTGGTGGTTACCTAGGAAAGCGGTTACCACGGTTCGAATATCAGTCGGCCTCTCAAGAAAGTTACCGAGCTTAGAGCGGACGTGACGGGCAGTCATGTTGCTAGGATACTTGTAAGGGACAATGGTCGGTCGTGCGATGGGATTCTCCGTGTCGAAACCGCGTCCGCAGACGCCAGTGAAGTCCAGTTACCCCCGCGACGCGTACTGGAGCCGACGCTCGCAGTGTCTGCAACTCGCAGGCCCATACAACGAACTGTCCGAAACAAGCAGCGAAAGCGTGAGTACATAATATGTGGATCCGCAGTTGAAGTGATAAGTTTGTCACGGGACTGCCATGTTGTTTCATAACCATTTTCAGCATTCTGTTAAACTATGTGAAACTATTCAAGAATCAGTTGAAGAGGTTTCGGTTTGAATCATGCACCAAGATATTTGCTAATGATAATTATGAGTATGATACTTGAATCATAATAACTTGATCAACACAACAAATACAGTTACTGTAAGACTGTTGTTGTCAGGGTGAAGAAGCAAACACGTTCAAGTTCAGTGCATATATCAGGCCATGCAAATTGTCTATACTAATAGTATTACTATAGTTTGATATCTTTAACATTTTGGGTCATGTAGGATTTTGAATACTTCTACTTTTTATTTTTTTATTTTATACCTTGGAAGGATAATTTAGTGTGGCAACTACAAGTTGACACAGTGGTGTCTTATAGTATTCAGGCAGTGATTGGTTAGTTAGTTGATACATGTAAGTATGAGATATGTAGTATAGAATAAAATACATTTTGTACTCCGGGTACAACATATTTTCACAAGAATACACTCACAAATACATACTTCTGTCATAGATACAACTCAATTACACACCAATACTGTTACATGTACATTACCAACATGTATTTTATTAATAAGTTTCATTAATAATTTGAATAAGATGTATTTTATTATTAAATGTCATTAATAATTTATGTGGGCATGTCACCACAACTTTCCACACTTGTTTTAAACTAGCCTCTATATTGGTCCAATATAAGAACAGTGTCGGTCTCTTAGCGCAGACCAACTCCCATATCATCAGTCTGTTTGGCCAATTTCTACTCTTTCCAGTCGCTTCCCAAAGCCTGGTAGAGGCTAATTTAAGACGTGTTTGTGACATGTTTTTTTCCAGGCGGACAAATGCGTTCCGCGGCTGAACGAGGGCGACCAGGTTCTCCTGATCAACGGTCGCGACGTCTCGCAGCACACGCACGAACAGGTGGTCATGTTCATCCGCTCCACACGGGAGTCCCACACCGGCGAGCTCGAGCTGACCGTCAGACCAAACGGTGAGGAGAACACTTTATTTCTTTATCTAGCTTTTCCATTAGACAAAACAGGTGATTGCTCACCTCTTCCCTACTGTAAATCACTTTATGTTTGCGGAAGCAAAAGTTCGCTGTCTGAAAAAAAATTCACATGTTCACAGCTACAGAACTATACATTTGCGGTGTTGGCAGGTGCAGCAAAAAAAAAAACTCGGCAATTTATTCGTTCACCGTGATGATAAGTTCACGTTACAGAAGTGACCGCAAAAAAACGCGAATATAAAAGTACTGGGAAAAAATTGTGATGTACAGTTAGTACTAACTCAGTCAGCGACCATGATGAAAATACTGTAACAGTAATTCCTAAATTCAGCAAAAGACAATTCAAGTTTTCCAAAGCTCGATACATGGCATTAAATAAAAAGAGTGCAGTTGTTCATAACCCAAGTAAGGATAGACAAAGTGCATAAGATGTACATGTATAAAAGTAATGTGACTGACGTCTGTGTGTCTCTGAATATCTGTCTCTTTCATTGCTCTTTTTTTCACCGATCCTCGTTTTGTTGCCATCCCTCTATCTCTTCCTATCCCCTTCTTTTCTTCTGTCTGTTTTTGTGGACACTAGCCGATGACTGTCACACGGGGTGTGAATCTCTGGAAGAAGAAGAATTTGTAAATCACTGGCTCAATCATGGTAAGGACACCCCCCTTGCAAAAGTGGACCATTCCAAAATAAACACTTTTTTTTAATGCTTGGTCTGCATGTACACATTCTGCATGTATATTGCCAATATGCAAAAAAATTTAAGAAAAAAAATGAAATCTTAAATTCCAGTTAGTTAAACTTGTTCCAGCTGCCCTGGACATTTCAATTTTGCATGATTCTTTTTTTTTTTTAATGCAAAGCACTAAATGATCCATGTTGAAAATTGTTGAGGAAACTCTATCGTCAAACCACTTTCTCCATCATAGCTTCAGCCCCCCCCCCCCTGCAACTCTGTAAAAGAATATTGAGTACCATTATAACAATGGTGATATCATTCCATTGTCACCATCCCTTCTCTGTCTGCACAGTCTACTGCTGTCAAACTTGCTCATTTAGTGACCACCTCCTGATTTTTTTGTATAAGGCCACACCAATGTAATTTGTTGGTTCTCGGATTCGCCTCATATTTTTTTCTGATTTGCAAAATGAAAAAAAAAAAAGATTCTGGTTCCGAATCAACTCAAAAATATTAATATTGTTATCTGTCTGTACAGGGCACGCCTGTAAAGCAGTATATTGTACTGAGTGCGTCTACCCTGTATAAAGAAGACAGAAATAAATAAATAAATAAATAAATAAATATTTTGCCACCAACAGTTGAGGAAAGTCCTTTTCTTCCTAGTTGTTACAGTTTTTTCCATCTTATCATTGAGTATCAATGCAGTGGTTTGCTTTAAAGTTCAAAATTCATTGTGTAAATATTAACCCAGCCTTTTGTGTTGACTTCATGGCTCCTATCGTAGCATTTGTAGCTATAATAGGATGCCTAGACCTGTTTTTATTTTTTATTTTTCACCCTGTTGCTTCATATTTCATCAAGAAAATCGAGAACCAACAAATTAAATTGGTGTGGCCTTGTAAAGTCACTGACCTCCCTTTTCTCCTCCTGACCTCCCTTCATTCAGTGTCCCTTCAAAAATTTATCTGATAATAACAAAGACAACAATCAGGATTTTTATAAAGTCTAAGTCTAATCAGGATTTCCTATGTAAAATTTTGTACCTCTTTTTTCATAAAAACAAATACAAAATGATATTAATGTAGTATAATATCCTTGCCCTAAAGTCATTCTGAGTTTCAATCCACCATTGTTGTGTTCTGTGTAGAGTTTTTTTTTAAGATCTCAGTATAATGTGGGAAAGTTGAGTTTTCCTGTGTCAGTCTGAGTTTCCTACAGATCAGCCCCTGTCCCTTCCACTCCCTCTGTGTGATGTGGTTCTGTACTTCCTTCCTCTGAGACAGCTGTGACCAGTAGATCAGGAAAACCTCCTCCCTCCCTCCCCCTTCTCTTCATTCCACCGTCCTATACACCTTCTGTCCGGCTGGTAGCTCTGCTACTGTTCCCAGTATTTTCCTGGTGTCGGCGCCAAAGTTTGGGTTCCCATGGTGGAAACAATGTGTGCTGCCATGTTAGGTAACGCTGCACTCTCCACGTTATTATTTACTATTAATATTTGCATTTCGTGACTGTCAGGGACGTAGTGCGTGGTACCTGAAATGTCTGACCGTTTCCAAAATCATATCCAGTTGCTTGAGTTACTGTTTTTTGGTGTCTCTTATTACCTGGATGTCTAACCTTCACCGACGTTTTATTAATATTGTTACGTGATTACTGAGTTATTTTTTTTGCTATGGAGCTAGGAGATCATATCGTTGATATTTTTTGTGGATATGTCTTATACAAAGGTCTGTTGTCATCCGCGGATCCAGAAATTTGTGAACGGGGGGGCGCACCACCTGACGTGGCCAGAAAATTTTTTAAATTGAGAGTCTCTCTGGTGCATTTCAGAGTCATTTCTGAGCAAAAAAACAACGAACTAATGCTGATGTTTTCAATACATTCATGTGCCTGTCGGTACATTTTACGACTAAGAAAATAGAATACTGTATTGCAAATGCATCTATGTTTGGGACGACTTAATTTCACGAAACGGGGCAAATAAAGAGTTCGCGATGGATTTTAGTTAGCGAAAAAAAAGAACAAAATACAAAAGGAAATGCCGCCTCTTTATAGACCGGATCACTTAAATCATTTTCCGATCGCGAGGAACGTGCGGTCACAACATCGCAGCACTCAAATACACTAACGGATAACACTTATAACATATGAAGTAACGGCCGTGGAGACGGAGCGCCGCGCACGTGTTTACCATTTTTAAGACTTCTTACCGGAGCGCCGGATGTCAGCGGAAGACACACATTGAATGGGGCCACCGTGCCTACTGCAACCTGAATGAACCACGGAAAAGTTAGCTCGGCGTAGTTAATCAAAAATTCGATTGACCGCCCATCGGAGAGCAACGATTTATCGAGGCGGAGAAGTGAGCCTGTGCTACCGAATTTAAAATTTGATGCAAACCAAACGAGAACAAGGGGCTACTGGGACTTACAATTCTGAACAGGAACGAGCAAAAAGGTTTCAAAAAAATATCTCGTAAACTACTGCTTATGTCACAAAATCAACACTTCCCGGCATGGAAAGCTTCTCGTCGCTGGGACGTTCCCACGTGTTGCCAAGACGACGGCACGTTCTGATCAGACAGAGCGGCGTCACGCCCTCAGCAGCACGAGCATGGGCCCCGCCCACCGGGCGGGCGGCAGAAGATTTCAAAGCGTTATTGTAGCAAACCATGCCGCGTACATTTACCCCGCATTTTCACTTCGTACCGCTGGCAGGTATAGTCCCACTACAAAATAATTTTCCTGCAGCATTTATTAGGATTTAAAAAGATTTGTGATACGAAATGAAAAGATTTCTGTCAACCGAACCTTTGTAACGGCACGGCATGGATATGATTTTTTAAGATTTCTGTGTTAACTAGCCGAAAGTGCATTAGAACTGGCCATCAGTTGAGGCAAAACTGCCATGTTATATTCATGTTACGTTACGACGACCAAGAACGTTCACGGCTTGCAGACCATTTTAAATCTTACAAAGTTCTTAGAACTGTGTTTACTCTTACGCACCCCCATGAAACTCCTTCCTCTTCGCCCCCGCCGTTCTGCTTCGCCCCCGCCCCGTTCTGCTTCGCCCCCGCAAAAAATCTGCTTCGCCCCCGTCGTTCCTCTACGCCCCCGGCGCAATTCTGCTTTGCCCCCGTCCTTCTGCTTAGCCCCCAATGGCGGCACAGCTCACAGTCGACACGAAAATCGTCTGCAAAATAACAATAAAGGCTGTGCCGCCAAATTTAAAGTAGCCCATGCTCCGGCAAACATTCTGGACCACCTTTCTGCCAAGTGGCGTTGCACAAATCCTTCCCATTCAAAAGTTTACCCCTACCTCACGGCCCGTCAGTGGTTCTTACGTTTATAAGTACTGGCGGGAAATTT